GCTAACATGAAAAAGTCAGCCATGTCATGGTGATACAATACTATAGTTGTTTAGTGCAAACCCCTAGAGGTGCTTAAACATTGTTTTATCTTCCAGGGGAGCTTATAGCTTTAAACTGCCCCCATCCAAATGAGGGAATATTTTTGAGCTCCCAGGGAACCTCTGATACTGGGGCCATCCATAAGGTAAATCATGGCTCTAAACTGCCCCCCACCCAAAATAGGAAACCTTCCCAAGCTCCAGTAAGGCCCCTGGTAGGGGAGCATCAATATGCAAATCACAGCTTATGGTTGCCAACTGCCCCAGCGGATAAAAAGGATTCTTCTTGAGCTACCGGGAAACCCCTGATATTGGGGGGGCATTATATTGCAAATAGCTGATGGTTTCAAACTGCCCTTATCCGTAAGAGGGAAGCTTCTCGGGCTCCCAGGAACCTCTGATACCGGAGGGCACCAGTATGCAAATCTTATAGCTTCAAACTGCCCCCATTCAAATGAGTCAATCTTCCCGAGCTCTTGGGGAACCAGTGATACTGGGGCCATCGTTATGTAAATCGCAGATTACAGTTTCAAACTGCCCCCACCCAAAAGAGGGAATCTCAATGAACTCCTGGGAAGCCCCGGATAATGGGGACATCATTATGCAAAAAGCCACAGCTTCAAGCTACCCCCACCCAAAAGAGGGGATCTTACCAAGCTCCCAGGGAACCCTGGAAATTGGGGGCATCAATATGCAAATCGCAGCTTAAGGCTTTGAAATGCCCCCACCCAATAGGGGGAATCTTACCAAGCTCCCTGGGAACCCCTAAAACTGGGGATATCAATATGCAAATCGCAGCTTACGGCATGGAAATGCCCCCACCCAATAGGGGGAATCTTACCATGCTCCCTGGGACCGCCCGGATAATGGGGACATCAATATGCAAAAAGCCACAGCTTCAAGCTACCCCCGCCCAAAAGAGGGAATCTTCCAAAGTTCCCTGGGAACCCCCTGGATATTGGGGGTATCAATATGCAAATCACAGCTTATGGCTTCAATCTGCCCCAATCCAAATGAGTCAATCTTCCTGAACTCTTGGGGGAACCCGATACTGTAGGCATTATTATGCAAATCACAGATTACAGTTTCAAACTGCCCCCACCCAAAAGAGGGAATCTCATTGAACTCCTGGGAAGCCCCTGATAATGGGGACATCAATATGCAAAAAGCCACGGCTTCAAGCTACCCCCAAAAGAGGGAATCTTCCCAAGCTCCTCGGGAACCCCTGATATTGGGGGCATCAATATCCAAATCGCAGCTTATGGCTTTGAACTGCCCCCACCCAATAGGGGGAATCTTACCAAGCTCAGTGGGAACCCCTGATATTGGGGGTATCAACATGTAAATCGCAGCTTATGGCTTCAAACTGTCTCCTCCCAATAAGAGGGAACCCTGTATACCGAGGGGCATCAATATGCAAATCAAAGCTTAGGACTCCAAACTCTGCTTGTCTAAAAGAGGGAATCGGCCTCTCCACTGGTCAGATTTGATTGGCCCGTATAACGTCATGATTGATAAAGGGGTTCTCTAAAACACAAAAGGAGCAACAATGAGAATTTTGTAGAGCGGGTGGTTTGGCGCACACACATAAAACCTAGATATAATTCTTTATGTGCAACTATACTGTACAGAATTACACATTTCCCACCATGTTTACATCTTATTCACAAATATATAGCAGCTATCTTATCTTTAGGACAAGCATTGTATTCACATTTTAGTAAATAATCACAACCTATAGCTTTATATTAACGGCCATTTTAGGCTAAGCAAGGCTTACCAACGGCTGCATGGATGCATCGCTGAGGTTACCAGACCGGACGTCACCTGTGCGTAGGAAAAATAGTTCCCTCCAGACTGGAACTCTGTTCTCTTCAGCTCTGAGTCCTGAAACTTTTATAGATAGATCTGTAGATGTTAGTAGCTAAAGTGCATATGTCACAAGAGAAGCATGTGAGCTGCCATCAGAAATGGCTAAGCTTCCCTGGCCGTGTCTGGCCCCTGATACTTCTGACATGCAGATGCGGAACAAGCATGAAGCACACAGGTTAGAATTCCTTTGAAGCCAAAAGATCAGAATGACAGCCACGAAATTGGAATTTTCAGGAAAAAGCGCCAATTGGTGCTTCTGAAATCTAAATTCACATATATAGTTACATAGTATTTGAGGTTGAATAAAGACATTAGTCCATCAAGTCCAACCTATTAGGATCTCATTCTAGGAGTACCCGTACCCCTGTATATTACGGTCCCTTAAGAAATCGTCCAAAAGTTTCTTGAACAATTCCACATTATTTGCTGAAATCACCGCCTGTGGCATATGCAAGGGACCCCTCTCACCAAGAACAAGGACCCATCTCTCCAAGAACAAGGTTAGTACATGGTGGAAGCATTTTTGACTTTACGTCCAGATTAAAGCAGAGCAGACAACACATCATTCTGGATGTCTAGTTTTGGGGATCAGCTGATCTGCAGCCCATATAATGAGATGTGTTCAGGTAAAGTCCATGCCCCCTCGGGACCCATACTAACCAGCTCTTCCCTCCCCACCATTGAAGAGATACACCCAGGTATGGTAATCGCATTGGTTTCCACCTTGATCCTCCCACAATGCAGCTCTGGGTGCCTTGCGGCCGATTGCCAGGTCGAAGTGCAGTCATGTGAGGGCGAGAAAAATGACCATAGTCTATAGTCTAAGTTCCAACCACAGCAAAGTGGATTTACAGACTTCTTTGTTTCATTTTTGCTATACTTGCCTTACGTTCACTTACAAGCCGATTCGGTTACCTATAGGAGGGGGAAATGTATGTATAAGCAGCCCAAGGGTGGCATTTAAAGACACACTATCACTTTGACCATTCAGAGCAAAGTGATAGAGCATTGTAAAAGCCCACCCTCAAAATAAGATACATTCACCAATCCACATGCTCTTGTTGCATCCCCTGCTACATTGGAATCCTACTGTGTTACTCTAACAGAGCAGGGTTTCCAGGAGTGGGGGCCTCCGCCATGACCCAGTGCATGGGTCTGAGTGGCCAAATGGGAAGAGGGGGTAGTTAAGTCATACACCCAGGTAAGATCCAAACAGAGTGTGGGAGCACATAGGAAAAAGGGAGCAACCGAGTGCGGATTGGCGCCAGTCGGCTAACAGGAGGAGTGTCTCTTTAAGTGAACTGGTTGCTTTGCCATCCAAGTTAAAGCTGAACTCTGAGCAGGAATTTGGAAGAATCTTTAAAAATGACATTGCTCACCATCTACAAATACGTTTTTCTTTATCAGCATAATAAGGGCTTGGAGACCCGTATTACTTCTTTGGAGTACCGGGGGCTGCTGTGCTGCTCCTTCCCTGGCTCACTGGCCTTTAAACATCCCCAAGGTAATTTCCTTTAACCTGCAGCGATATAGTTATGTCACTGCTGGCTGCAATGGGAATATCAGGTGTCACAGACACCATGTCTACTCTGCAGTGTGCAGCCATGTAGGCGTCTTCAAGGATGGTCAATAAACCAGCCCATATACACTCCATTGCCCCCACATTCACTCCCATTGATGGCTACCATTCCCATTGTATGATGGCAATTGTATTTTTATTGCATAGGCTCTGCAAAGCCACGAGATTACCGTCCCGCTTACCCCGGTTATTGCGGAGATTTCTAGTGCATGGTGATGATGTCATTGACTTTTATAAAACACCTTACTAGGATGGTCAACAAACCAGCCCACAGACACGCCATTGCCCTCATCGTCACTCCCATTGATGGCTACAATTCCCATTGCATGATGCCAATTGTATTTTATTGCATAGGCACTGCAAAGCCACAAGCTTACCCCGGGTATAGCTGAGATTTCTAGTGCACGGCAGTGATGTCATTGACTTTTATAAAATACTGTACCTTACTAGGATGGTCAACAAACCAGCCCACAGACAAGCCATTGCCCCCATCGTCACTCCCATTGATGGCTACAATTCCAATTGTATTTTATTGCATAGGCTCTGCAAAGCCACAGGCTTATCGTCTAGCTCACCCCAGGGTATAGCTGAGATTTCTAGTGCATGGCGATGATGTCACTGACTTTATAAAATACCTCACTAACAAATATAGGTCCTTTCAGATGACTCAAATATTCACATGTGCAATGTGCTTATTATGGACAGGAAGTAGGAGTGTTCATGGACAGGAAGTAGGGCTTACCTGCCCGGAGTTCAGCTTTAAAGGAGAGCTATGGAGCAAGTGTTTTTCCCCATAGTTTTCCTAAGGGTCATGGGAGGACATAAACTAGCGTCCTCCCGTCACCCAAAGCTCAGTATATCGCGAGCTACAGCTGGCAGTATACTGAGACCGCCGCAGCCAGGACGGATCCCGACATTACTGTGGAGATCCACCCAGCTGCGTGAGTGACAGCTGGCTCTGCCTACCTAGAGGCAGAGCCAGCTGTACCCGCCCCTTTACACGCCCGTTCCTCCAGTCAGCGCTGCAAGATCAAAGAGGGGAGGGGGGATCCCTGCAGGGAGCTGTGAGTGACAGTCACGGCTCTCTGCAGGGACAGGATCGATAAGTGAGCGAGCGACGGTATATGTTCGCTCACCTCCCGATCTACTGAGCCGACCTGTGACAGTTTCATTGTCACACCTCGGCTCGAACTATGAGGTTGAGTGAAAATCACTCGCCTCATAGTTCTCCTTTAACTTCCAAAATTCTTCATCCTACACAGGGAGAAAAAAAAACAAAAAAATCGCTTTGCACATTATTACCAAGTCTTAGCACCTAGACATCATTAAACACCAGAAGGGGCATTTATTTACAAAAAAAAAAAGACAAAAGATGGATATACAGAAATAAAATAAAAAAACAAAAACAGACAAATCAGTCATTTCTTCAGGAATATGTTCATTTAAAACAGGAAAATAATTTAAACCCTATGAGCCACCTACGCACTCGGCCGACACAGTGCAGGCTGAAACTTTTGAATTTCATTTTTAGAAAAAAAAAGGGCAGCCTATCCATTCATTAGGACACGGATGAAGCTGGCGAGGCATGAGGGAGGGACACGTGCTTACGCCAAAATCTATCAAATTTTGATAATCAGTAGGCCCTTTTTTTTTTTTTTGCTTTGCTGTGTAGGTGACGAATCCACATTAAAGGACCACTAAACCTAATGATGTGAAACAGTAACTAATAACATTCGTAGTTATGCGCATATTCCTGCACGGGAAAATCAGGTATTTAAAAGGAGAACTATGGATAGTCTGGCTGTCTCTGGTTTTGATACTGCTGACCTGTAACATGTAGGAACTGCTCGGTCATACGTGTTCCAGGTCGCAGCCTCGGAAAACTGCCGAAGACGTAGGCTTCACATAACAGACGGCAGTCTCTTTAATTTCCATGACTTAGAAGTGGTAGTGTTCCGTAAGATCACCTGACAGGAAGTTAGCAGCGTGATGGGGAATAGACTACCTTCGTTTGAGGTTCTCGCAATACTTTCACACATCCGTGAACGTTATTAAACACTTGACATAAAACAACCTGCAATTGGGTGGCCATTTAACCGGCATGTTATGTGCTTGGCAGGACCCGAAAAAGAAATCCCATGTCATAATTTGTGGCCAAAAAAACAAAAAGAATTGCTTGGACAAAACCCATTCATAGTAGTAACTGTTCCTTCATCCGTCCTGATGATCAAATTCTGACCCGAGTGAGTAAGCTGTGGCAGAGCCATTGTTTCAACATCCGCAGTGCTTAGAGTCCTTGGCATACAGTTTGTCCAGCGAGAATATGGCTGTGCCAGTACTTTTGGAATCTGCCGTTTGGCGAACGCCACACATACACCGGCCTTCACCAAATCATGCTCCCCGGGGTTGGCATGCAAAGAAAGTAGAATTTAGAGAACAAGCTTTCCATTCCCAGATAAAGGATCGGTGCCGGCTGGTGCTGAAGCCTGGGCAAAAACGATTCAAGCACCTTTATTGGTTTACAGGCACCCAACCACCAAAGGGCACCGCCAAAACCACCTCACAAAACCATCCCCACCTGACCTCGTCCCCCCCAAAGTAATAATTTAAAAAAAAAAGAGAGAGAGAGAGAGAAGAAAAAAAGTGAACGATAAAGACGGGAATGATTTCGGCTAAAAAGTAAAAAACCGCCACTGAAGATTTGGGAATACCAGAGAGGTTTAGAAAATGAAGTTGGATGAATCTCGTCACTCCCTCCCCCCCCCCCCCCCCCCCCCCCCCACCCCACGA